CTTGGCGACATTACACCTTGAATGAAGTATCAGTAAAACTACAGGATGAGGAGGAGGAGGGAGGGTCTAGCTAGCCTCTGTTTTGTTTGACAATACTTCGAACGTCAACAAGAAGTGACGTCACCCAACATCGCTTAGAGCACCTTTAAACAGGACATGTCAAATTGAACATTCCTTTGTGCCAGGTATAAACTAAACAATATTTTTTGTCTGTTGCGATAGTCACTGTGTCAGATTATGCAATTTTGACTACTAAATCTTGTTGTGTCATTGACAAGAATCATCTAGTCATCTAGTTCATCTAGTTAGTCATCTAGTTAGTTCACCCCAAAATGAAAATTCTGTCAGTAATTACTCACCCTCATGTTGTTCCATCCCCATAAGACTTTCGTTCATCTTCGGAACACAAATTAAGATATTTTTGATTAAATCTGAGAGCTGGATCCCTCCTCCATAGGCCTCTTAAGGGATCGAAACTGGCCAGCCCAAAAGTTATGAAAGAGTATCTCTCGAGGAAAAACTCAAATCGTGCTCGCGCGTTCGTACTTCCTAGCTCATTTTCTCATGGGCGAGCCAAATTCTCTGGGCGGGGAAAGCAGAGAAAGGGGAGGTTACCTTTCCTCCGTATGACGTCATACGGAGGAGATTCAAGATCAGCCCGTCTGAGCTTTCATTTTCTCAAAGGCAGAAAAAGATAGCCAAAGCTCGGTTTACACCGATTGAAATTTCTAGCCACTGGGGGACCATATACAGGCTAGGGGAAATCATATTAATGTTAAAAAACCTCAGAAAGGGTCAGGGGACCTTTAAAATGTTTTTAAGCTATGAAACTTATAGGATGTTTAATGGAACAAAGACTTCTTACAGTATATGTCAAAAGATCAAGGAAAATTTGGTTTTATCATATCATGACCCCTTTAAAGTGATATCTTTGTACTCTAAGGTACTAATATGAACCTACTAGGAGTAGATAAAATACAAAGTTATCCATTTAAGGGTATTGTTCGTTATTTTATCTTTATTATTCAAAAATAAGATCAGAGATCTTCAAATTACGAACAATAGGACAAATGCATTTACATTCATTTTATCCAAAGCGACTTACAAGAAACAACAATATTTGTAATATTTGCAAGCTAGAAAGAGGAGACAAAATAAGAAGAGACAACATAAGAAGAAAGCTTGTTTGAGATTTGATTCTATTTTATGTCCAATTACATTTGCTTGTAATGTGTCTGTTCAATAATCAATAAAGCCATATGGCCCATGACTAAAGCTTTAAAGCTTCAACAGCATCAATGGACACACCAGGCAAAGCCTGCAGTCTTTTTAGCCTATAATGGCACAACTCTGCTCCATCTCTTTGTTCTTCGTCTTCATCTTGGATGTTACTGTAGGCTAACCCTTTAAACTATCTCTTTTCATCCCTCTGTCAGTGCCATGTGCTTTCTTTCAGCCTTTCTAGCATCAGTGTAGACAGACTATAACTGACTGATAGACTATAACTTATACTTGCCCAGTAGCATATTTGCAGTAGATTGATAGGACTAATTAAAGTGTGTTTTCATCACCGGCTAGCTGAGCAGACACTGTTGTGAGCTCTCATAATGTCAGGAGAAAAGCCGTAATGAATTGAGTCTCCCTCACACACACACACACACACACATCTGCATGCTTCAGTGCCCATGACTGATCTTTAAGGGATTGTCTTAAAGCATGGGAAGTGTGTGTGAGCCTGGTTGCATCTCTTTATGCCTTAGGGAAGTGTCCATACAAAAAATAAATAATAAAATAAAACAGATCCAGAGTGAGGTTGGATTTTGAATTTGAAGCCCAGCAGTGTGGATAGTGTTGAAGAGTAACATGGTCATTGATGATCTGTACTGGCTCCAGATTTAGTGTAAAATGGAATGCTATATAAAAACTGAACTAAAATATGCTGTCCATAACTCACCTCCTCTCTGGTGCAGTTTGGCTCTGTGTCAATGAAATGTCACTTTAAACTTTGCAGTTGTGGTGACAAGCAGCAAGCATCTTGTTTTTTATCAGCTGTCCATGAACATCAACTTTCAACTTTAGGACATTCGATACATTATTTTAAGTGGTTGTAATTCCTTTGTAAATACATATACACTGTTCTTAAGTTTGAAATAATGTTTTTACAAGACGTCTTTTATGCTCAGCAAGGCAGTAAAAACAGCAATATTGTGAAGTATTGTAAGGACCACCCGTCGGCCCAACGGCGTGGGCGAAGGTTTATTGCATGTAGGTCTTTTCAGCACTTCTGTGAAGTTCACTTAATTTATTATAATTTCGTTTAAATTTGATTCTAGTTCCATGCTTAGTCTGACTCCTATTCCAAATCGTTATTAAATTTAGACTTGATTTCTAGTTAGGAACTAACCATAAATATTGGTTATGTTTCAATTTAGGTATTTGATTGTTCTTGGTATCCCATACTTTCAGTTATTCGTTCATTAGGGACCTGATGCCGCATAAAGTCACACGCCAGCCGGGTTACGTGGATCTCAGGGACACAAACTCGCCCGTCTGATCTTATACTCAAAGGGTGCAGGGTTAACTATTACCTTTTTAATACTGATCTTTCATTAAAAAAAGTGTAGTTTATGTAGCCACTTCTGTACAACAGAAGTGCTAAGTCTTGCTAAGTCAGTGATAGACAGAAATCAAAAGGTCTTCAGATGACATGCTTACTGCTCCATTTATTTATGAGCCTTTAGTTTGACCTCTCCTGGACATCAGATTTGCAGTAGCACGAGCCTCCTCATAATCTACGGGTAATAATAATTTTAGATGAATACAGAATAAATTGAGTGATCTGAGTGCAGGACTCAGGAAGACACTAACACAGCACTGTGTGGGGGTTTTCTGGTTACAGAATTCCCATTGACTCTTCGGCCAGTTTCCCTTAAATATCCAGACCAGAACAAAAGAGTTGTAAATATTTACTACACCAATATTTTTCGATTTGTTGGACCTACTCTCGTACCCCAAAGGGTCACAGTTGGTTTTGGGGGAGAGGAACAATGGTTATCAGATATCTTGAAGAGACACAACAGGAGAACAGAATTCTTCTAAGTTTTCAATCTTTCACGTAACATAAGTGACTGCTGTGAAATTGAGACCATTTTAACAATTGCACTGAGACATTTAAAATGATACCAAATATGAAAGAGAAAAAACAATGTATTTACAAGATGCGTCTTATAACACAAGATATGTGTTATCTGTTTCGATGTGCGTTAAGGTGAAGACACGAGACCTGTTTTAGGTTTCAGCCATGTTCTTTTATCTGCCTTAACCCCGCCCCGTAGACCCAACATTACATGTATCAGCAATAGGTGACTCGTGTATTGCATATCATGACATTATCGACATTCTTAGTGAACTTTCAATGACTTGAGCCAGGGTGAAAGGAGGGGAGTAGGTAGAAAGAGGCTCATAGATAAGTGAGGAGAGAAGTCTGGGCAAAGCAGTATCTTATGCTCTTTCTTTGAGATCTCTCCTGATGAGTGAGTTTTATTGTTTTATTGCAGGTAAGGATTCTCAAGTTCAGTCTTAGCAGAAATCCATCCTTATAGTATTATTACAGTTTAAAATAACAATTATAATAACTTAAAAATGTAATTTATTCCTGTGATGGCAAAGCTGTATTTTCAGCATCATTACTCCAGTCTTCAATGTCACATGATCCTTCAGAAATCATCATAATATGCTGACTTGGGGATCAAGACACATTTCTTATTAATATTCATATTAAAAGTACTGATTTTAATGAATTTTTTGATGAATATAAAGTTCAAATGAACAACATGTATTATTTTTGTGACAATGTAAAACTCTTTACTTTCACTTTTGATCAATTTAATGTGTCCTCGCTGAATAAAATGATCAGTTTCTTTGAGGAAACAAAAAATATCTGACCCCAAACTTTTAAATGGAAGTTAAAGGAGCTGTATGTAAGATTGTGGCCAAAACAAGTACTGCAATCACTGTCAAATTACTGTAGAGTGGTGTATCTCCTCCCCCTCCTCCCTGACTCGAGGTTGCCAGATCGGCTGCAGGATCCAGCAGGAATGTGACGAGCTGCAGCTGTGGTAACTACAGCAGAGCTGGCAACCCGGATGCCGCAACACTACTGACTTCGTGATTGGTAGATAGGTGGAGGGTGGAGCATCAGACCAAAACACAACATGACAACATCAACATCAGTTGAGGGCTGCAACTGCACTTTTTAAATGACAATATCCTGGCCAGACTACTGTTGTCAGTGATATAAGTATTTGAAATGTACATGATTTCTTAATGTCTATTGACATTTCAGGGCCATTTTATGATTAATTGAAATAAATTTCTTACATACAGCTCCTTTAATGCCCATTTGTCACATTAAATAATCATGTTAACACATACCTTTTGCAAGTGTGGGACCATGTTGAAAATCAAATCTAGGATTCAAAATAAACCTGTAAAATTTGTTTTAGAATTTTTAGGATTAAAACAAAGGATAATTTTTCTAAATGAATATTATAGGTCACTAATCAAATTATTACATTTGTGATACTGATCATGTGACTCTCTAAAAATGGTCAGATATACTTGCTTACATTGAAATGCAAGATGCTCTTTGGATCATTCTTAAATTATGTATTAGTACTACAGTATATTGCCATTTTCTGGTATTTAGACATTTCTAAAAATTCATGTTTATTTTTAATTTCAACTTTTCATTCATATAGTTATGCTGATACAGTAGTTATGCTTTAAACCTATAATAAAAAAATTGCAAAAGCATCTACACTAGGGGTCTGAGTATGCCACTCCATTTATTTTTCAGACATATATTCCAGCAATGATGCTACCATTTCTATAATGGCAACTAACAGCACAGGTTGTTGAATGTTAGTCTGACAGCTGATTTAAATTCAGATGCTGTCTCTCATTGTCCATATTCTCTCTCTTCTCTGGGTCTCTGACAGATGAATCCAGTCTGAAGATGAACAGTGTTTGTCACATCCCACAGACACTGGCCAGTCACTCTCTCGCTCTACAGGATAAGCACCGGTCAGAGACACATTCTGCAGACATGCTCAAACCAGATCCACGAGACACCTTCTACAAGAGTGAGTATTCCCAATGGTGTGTATGCAAATTAACAGATTGATTCAGTTCACTATTCTCATTTGTGAATCATCCGTTCACCTGATCGAACTGAGCCTCTAAATATACTCTTTGTCTAGTAAAATAATTGATGTATAACATATCATATTACACTAATGTTTAAAAGTTTAGATTTTTTAATGTTTTTGAAAATCTCTTATGCTCACCAAGGCTGCATTTTTTTTTTTTTTTCAATTTTAATATATTTTAAATTTTAATTTATTCCTGTGATGGCAAAGCTGAAAAGCATCAATTACTCTGTCTCTAGTGTCACATGATCCTTACATTAATATGATGACTTGGTACTGAAACATTTCTTGTTTCTATTGTGGCATTATACCCAAGTGAAATGCCTTCTTGAATGAGAAAAAAACATAGGGTGGGACTTTGATTGGATTGGTTGGATTGTTGTCATTTGCTTTTGCTGTAATCTCATGTGAGTGACAGGTTTCTGGATCAGAGAGGTTAGTCACACCCTTGTGCTGATGAACACGTCATCAGAGAAGAGAAGCATTGTTGCAAGGGGAGGGGGAATATTTGATTAGAAAGATCAAAAGGCAGCATTTATTTGAAACAGAATTTCTTTTCTGACATTATATATCTTTACTTGTCCTGTAAGTGCCAGAACTTGGTATATATAGGCTATATATTTGTTTCATGATGATCTTGTGATAAAACTGACAGCTAATTTTGAAATTATTATTTTTTTTTTATCTTTTTTCAGCATTCTAGCACTATTATGTGTATGTATGGCTGCGGTTGGTGAACAAAACAAACAGCCATCTATCTGGATAGACAGTGGGTTGCAGTTGTGCTAATGTTTAATTGCTAGTTGTGTGGAAGCTTTGCAGTGCACTGGTAGGTCTATATGGTGGTGTAGATATAGAATGTAAGCTTGTTAGAAGCAACACCATGGAATATGTGACAGTCAGGACTGAGGTGCATTTAATGGGTGCAAAACGTGCAAAATAATAGTGATGAATGGAAGCCATTGGGTATCTGTATGAAAACCAGCTAATTTGCTAAAATGTTTGTGCTGAGCAGCTATTTGTAACAGCTATTTAAACTGTCCCATCAAAATGTGTGCATTGTCCCATTTGATGACATATTTGTTATCCTAGTTCCCATGATAGATCGGTCCAGGCTGGAGAATGTTCTGCCATCTTGTGTCTACTCTCCTACGTATGTGGTGAAGGACTTCCCTATCGCACGCTATCAAGGCCTGCAGTTTGTAAGTTTGTAACATAGTCTCACCAAACACTCTCTTACTATATGTTGTTTTATTGGCAATACAGCTGAGAGTTTGCTAGTGGTTTTTAGCTGCTAGTTTCTGATAAACAATTTAATAAAGATTTTAATAATTATTTTGCTAGTTTAGTTTTATAAGCAGGATATTGAAAACTTTTCATGAAAATGTAGTGCAGCGGTTCTCAACCAGGGGCCTGGGACCCACTAGGGGGCCTCAGCACATTTTCAAAGGGGGCCACAAGATGGCTTAAATTTTTTTTTTTTAAACAAAGCAAACGTTAAAATAAACAGCTAGAAATAAAGATATTAAAGATATATAATTAACTGATGTAATTTTTCTCATTTCAGTTTGTTCCCTCAACAACTGTCATACTGGATAAATGAGGGAATTTTAAAAGCACAATTTCTAGACCTGAAAAAGTCATTGAATTGTTTTAACTCTTTAAAAATGTATATACAATATAATTTTCTAGTGATGCCACGCTGTGATAAAAAACAATTAAAATGATTAAAAATTGTAATTTAAAATAAAACATATGAATATGACTGTGGAATCATGTACATTTAAAAAAAATCTAAATAACTTGTTTCCACTTTTGTGTAATGAAAGGTTCCATGGATGTTAAAGTTTCTTTGTGGAACCATAGATGCCAACAAAGAACCTTTATTTTTAAGGAGTGTGCCGCTCCTAGTTTCTCTAAATAAGCAGCTTTGTCATTACAGCCACAAATATCTTGGCCTTTGAATACTGTTTTGGAAAGTGGTCCCCCAAAAAAGGTTGAGAACCACTGATGTAAATATCTCTTTTAAGATGTTTCTGAGCTTAGAGCAAACAGTGCCCTCTTTTGGCCATTACTGTTCAACACAGCATCTGTTAAATCTCATGCTATCCAATTACAGTCACTGTTTTTAATTCTTCCGATTTTCTTATTTGATACATTTTTCCGTAATATTTTGGAAATGCATGTACCAAAAATCACTGCCAGTTTTCTCTTATTCGTATGTGTTCTCAACCAGGTCTACCTTTCCTATGTATATCCCAATGACTTCACCAGACTTACCCATATGGAGAAAAAGAACAAATGCTTCTATCGAGAGTCCCCTGTCTACTTAGAAAAGTATGAGTCCCAACTGATCATGACAAGAAATTAGGCAATCAGTCAAATATCTAAATACATAAATAAAAAGATAAGCATGGCCCTGTCATTCTTTTGAATTGTCATATAGATTTGGCTTCTATAAGTACATGAAGATGGATGAGGAGGATGATGACCAGCCTGTTTTCTTCCCCAAACCTGATGGTCTGTGTTCAGCTGGGATCTTAATAACAGATAAGAATTCAGCAGCTGTTTCCTCTCTTTAAAATCTCACCATGACATCTGTAATGAGCCAAGCGACATGTGTGTTCCCAAGGTTCAAAATTAACACAGGCCAGACGCCAAATGTGAGTAGAAATGGGCTTTGAAGAGTAAATAAAACAGTTGGCCACCAACTTTATTAGGATCATTACATGGTTTATGTTACACCATTAGAAAGATACCATTTGATTTACTCATGCAAAGACCTATGGCACATTATCAGATTTTCACTACACAATTATCATTACATGCCCAAAAAATTGTGATAACAATATTATTGTGATAGCTATAGAAATCTTGAAAAACATTTATCAAGTCAAATTCATCTTTAACTTAATTTCATGATTCAAAATATGAGTGTAGGGAACCTTAGAGAGTTCATAGCCATAACTGTAAAAAGACAAAAAGAAGTGAGTGTTGAACACCCCGTCTTTTTTTACAGAATCTTAAAAACAAAATAAATCCCTCACTGATGAACTTACTTTTTCTGTCTGTCATCTCCTTTGACATGATTTTGTGCGGCAGTAGCTACACACTGCGTCGTTGTTTCTTTCCCCCCATGTTATGACAGGTGGCAAACAGCGTTAAGGTGCAGTACCGCCCTCAAACAGACACTGGTACTGGGTTATTTAAGATATTACGACGGCATATTACGGCATATTACGACACCCCTAGTACAAAGTTCCTACATTAAGCCACTAAAACAAAAATATTTGAGGGAAAAAAACATCACAATGTGCCTTTTTGTTCTGGTGCAATTTCCATAACGAGTGGTTTATTTCATATATAATTCTTCAAGTGCATTGTGTGTAAAAAATTACCACAAAATTTGGACTGCTGCAACATGCTGTGTGCAACAGCACTATTGGAAGGCCTGGAAATGATAATGGTTAGCCGTAGATTTCTATCAACATCGCAACACATGTCACTGACTCTTTAATCATGTCATTAAGCAATTCTCATTTCAGATTAAATTAATTATTTAAAGGGCGTTAGTTTGATGGGGCTCGTCTCTTCTGACAGATTTCCTGGAGGAGGAAGAAGGTGTCGACCTAGAGGAGACAATCAACTCCAGCAACCGGCCAGTCAGGAGGACCAGTCTACCCTATCAGACGTCAAGGATTACAGCCTCCTCAAAGCCTGATAGATTAGACACGGGTTCAAAGAGCCAGGTCTTACAGCAAGAGAGGCAATACAATCAGTTAAAAGAGCAAGAAAGGAGTCAAAAAACTATAGGGGAGAGGTTTTATAAACACTCTCTGGTGGTGGATGATGAAATGACAGAAATAAGGCAAAGAAAGGCAAAGGGTAGTGCAGGTGCATTAGAGTCTCAAAGTGGGTCTCTAAATGAACAGACGGAAGCGAGCGAGGAGAACGGGGACTCCCAAAAACCTGCACTGGTTCAGAAAGGCCGTTTTTTAACATGGCAACTCCCTGACACAGGACTGCCAAACAAAAGTAAACTTAGAGAAACTGCTAGTCCTCCTGTGAAGGGAAGATCCCCCTTTAAGCTTCCTCAAAAGTCCCCTCTCTATGTTTTGGCTAATAGGATTTTAGGTAGCGCAGGCAAGCCTGTGTTTGGGACCAGTGTGGAGAAAGAGACTAATACCAACAAAATTTACATCACTAGACCCCGTCCACCAGTAAGCAGACCAAAGCCTCCTGTGGAAGTGTTTCCTGGCGTCTTCCTTTATCAATCTAGAAAGACCAAGAGGCTTGTGGATTTAAGTTCAAAATGGAGGTCTTTACAAACCCAAGCCGCTGCTTCTCTACCATGGCCGGACTTCTCCTTAATGGGGCATAAGACTTCCACCCAAACTGCCTTGTTAAAGCACAGCCATCCCTCCTTGCCTACAGAGCCTAGGCCTCATAATAAGGGTGACCCTACCCCCTTCATATCAGATCCAGACAGCTTGCCCCCATCAAGCTCAGAAAAGAGAGGCCACCCTGGGCTAAACTCGTCTGAGAACAGCCGGCCTCCGGAGATGCAGTCAACAAAGATCTCGGAAATGCCTGAGGGATCGCACATGGCTCCTCAGAGCAGGGGTCTTGAAGAAGGAGAAATGTCCGAGTACAGTTATGAGGAGGCCCAAGTGAGGCCGAGTTTGAAAGAGGAGGCCATCAACTGGCAGCGCACCTTCAGCGTGAATCCTGTGGACTTTGAGGTGCTGAGGTCGGACTGGAACGACCTGAGGTGTAACATCTCGGGAAATCTGCAGCTCGCCGAGAACGAGGTCGTTGATGTGATCTCACAGTACATGGAGAGGCTGAACGAGCGGAATGGAGGGTGAGCGTGTGCGGGTGCAAATGAAGATACTTAAAAAGGATGGTTCACCCAAAAATAACAACTCTGTCATTACAACGCATTCTCATCCCAAGGCGTTATATACTGACGCTTTTGCCAAAGCGTCTACATCCGACGCACATGGCACCCTTTAGCGTCAATATAACACGCCTCAGTTATGGGTAGGTTTAGGTCTGGGGTAGTGTTAGGGTTAGACCACTAGGAGGCGCCATATATCTGCGTCTCATATTGACGCTAAAGGGTGCCATGTGCGTTGGATATAGACGCTTTGGCAAAAGCGTCAGTATATGACGCCTTGGGATGAGAACGGGCTGGTCATTATTTATCTGCCCTCATGTTGGTATAAACCAGTATGATTTTCTTTCTTCAAAATTTTGAAGAATGTACTGGTTAATTCTTTGTCAATTTTACAAATAATGACCTGGACCTTTCAAAATAAAAGTGCATTCTGTATTTATTTTTCACCATAAAAGATGTCCATACTAATTGGGCTGTATATAAAAGTTTTCTGAATCTATTCAATAGTTTTGTATGATAATTATTTTAGTTATTAATTACTTCACCTTCGATGAACTGCTATAACTGGATCAATGAGTCAGGGAGTTGAACTCAAGAATTGGAATCATTCAGACTGGTTTTTGTGTACTGAATCGACCAGAGTTAAAAGAACAGTTTGTTAACAAAATCAGACACCTCCCTCTCACGCAAAGGCAGCGTTTAAATAGTCTTATTTAAACGCATAAAATGTATTTACAAAATAAATAATGACTATTTTAGATGTAGACAACTTTACTACTAATATGGACCACAGTGAAATAAAAAAAAATAGGATAAAAAAAAATGACCCCTTTAAACATTTGTGTGGGATTTTTTCTGCTGAGCCTGCAGCTCAAATGTACATTTTGAACGCTCCTGCTGTTAAGCACTTTCTCAGTGGGTCGCTTTATGCAGCTTTATCAAATAACAATTGGGAAAGCTTTATTACCCCTGACACAACTAGATTAAACATGATGTGTGGTGTTGTAGTATGTGCTTATATTTTACATGCACATATTCCTCATTGTCTCTTTGAAGTTGACTCAATTTACAGTACCTCTGTCTCTTTTTCTAACCGTTTCTTCTTTTTGCCTCTCTATCAGGATCTACACTCTGGTCCGAATTGTAAATGTAGAGAAGCGGAGAGATTCAGCCAGGGGCAACCGTTATTTGGTGGAACTATTGTTGATGGAGGGAGGAAAAAGAGTGGTGCGCCTGTCTGACTACATCTATCTGCTGTTGCACCGCAGTCGACATGAGGATGGAATTGAGAGCAGAGAGGGAACTATGCCCTCGTCTCACCATAGACCCTCCAAAAAACCTCTACCCAGCGGCTCCAGTACCCAAACACACAACACCACAGTCTGGAGCACCAGCTGGGCCAAACCCCTGCTCTGCCAGCCAGCCATGTTAGAATGGAGACATGACGTGATGGTACACTTTGTTGTACCAGGTATTTATAATGAATAAGAATTCCTGTTTATATGCATTTTTAGGAAAGAGTACTGACTTTGTAAATGTTAATGATAATTTAAATTATAGCCATAATCTGATACACTACTTTTCAAAAGTTAGGGGTCAGTAAGATTGTGAATGGAAAATACCACAGATGGAAAATACTACTTTTATTGATCAAGGACGTATTAAATTGATCAGTAATGACAGTAAAGTAAAAAAAATTGAACTTTCTATTTATCAAAATATCCAGAAAAAAATGATCCTGGTTTAAACAAAAATATTAAGCAGCAAAACTGTATTCAAGCACCAAATCAGAATATTTGAATGATTTCGGAAGGATCATGTGACACTAAAGACTGGAGTAATGATGATGAAAATTTTCATCACAGGAATACATTACATTTTAACATATATTAAAACAGAAATATTATTAAAAACAGTTATTTTTAATAGTCATAATAATAGTTTTAACTGTATTTCTAAATATATAATAAATGCAGCCTTGCATTAAAGACTTTCATAAATATTGATAAAACTTATGGTTTCATAGCCACTCATCCGAGTTGTCTTTTGTGGCAGTAAAGAATCAGGCTCGCTGGGTGCAGCAGTTTATCTCAGATATGGAGCTCCTGCACCGTGAGACTAAGGATGAGAATTTCAGCGTGATCATCGTAGACTTCCAGAGCGATGACATGGATGTGGAGCAGGCACTGAAAGAGAGCACTGTGCCCAGGTGAATAGTATACTGAGTTCTTCTTTCCACTTTTATCTGAGCACCTGCAGAGCAGAGTCCCTGCCTTCATGTGAGTCCTGTTGTTGGACGCATAAACTGTTTGTACTTGAGAACCTAACCCTGTTTTCTTCCTGTTCTTGGCTGTGTGTGTGTAGGTATGAGTATCTGAGACGTGAAGGGAACTTCGAGAGATCGTCTGGTTTACAGATGGGTGTGAACAACATAAAGGTAAGAAAAAATCAAATATTTTACAGTATTTGTGAGTCAACAGCTTGTAACGCTTAGATCCACAGAAAACGATTATAAAAGAACATAAGATTTATCATGAACTCAGAATAACAAGCCAACAAACAAAACAGTGTGCTAGTGCACAGACAACAACCGACAATGTACTGAGGGACCAAAGGAACTTTAGTGGCACAAACAAGGTTAATAAGGAGACACAGCTGAACTAAGAGGACTAATCACATCAGTAAACATGGCAACACATAAGTGGAAACTAGACAAAGAAAACACGTGACTGAATGAAAACAAAAATTGAACGTGACTGTGACAGTCAAAAAATATTTTTTAAAGTTATTGTGGTGCTCTTTAAAAATGTTATTCAATTGCCTTTTAAAATAATGTAATTACATTACTTTTAATGGAAAGGTTTTTTTTTTTTCTAACTCTTCCAGGAATTAAAGTTTTTAAGTGTTTAAGTAAATTAGTGCTGTTTTAGTGTCTGCAAATCTTTGTCCACCTGACATAATTTGCAATAGTAGTTGGTCTACATTGAAAAACAAAAATGGTGTAGGATTTACTCAAAATAATTTTCATTCATTACAAATAATTATAAAAAAAAAACACTGAATTAAACGTGATTAAGATGTGCAAAATGTACTACAGTTATCTTTGTTTACACTGTACATTATGGAGAAATATGAGGTTCATGGTTATTTGTCCATAAATAAATTATACAGAACAGAAAGTAATTTTACATTTTTTCAAAATTATAAAAAAATTGAAAAGTAATGTTTGTTTGTTTGTTTGTTTATTTTATTTATTTATTAAGCACTTTTACACAACTGACCATTGAACAAAGTGCTGTACAATATCCAAAACACATAAAGATAACCATAAAAACACAACACTAAAACCACAGTTAACAGCGAAAATAAACCCCTCAGTTTTAATAACCTACACAAACAATTACTATACCCCATTAAATGCTAATGCAAGGAGGTATTCCTTGAGCTTGTGTTTAAAAACACTTAATGTGGATACCGATCTAAGAGAAAAAGGTAGATCATTCCAGAATTTTGGAGCTATCGGTACAAAAGCTCGATCTCCACTTCTGCGCAAAACCAGCTGGGCAGCTGACCTTAAAGACCGTTTTGGCTCATGTTTCTCAATCAACTTTACCAAATACAATGGAGCCATGCCATGCAATGATTTGTAAACAAAAACCAAAATTTTAAATTTTATTCTGTAATCGATCGGTAGCCATTGTAGAAAACTCAAAACTGGAGTAATATGGTCTCTCTTACGAGTGTTTGACAAAAGCCTGACAAAAAAAGTAATGTAAATGTAAAAGTGATTATACATATGTAACAAATTTACACATTTTCTCCAAAAAGTCGGTGATGGTATAACATGTAATTTCCAGGAAAGTCACAGCATAGTGTTCCTGTGTGACCTGCACATCCACTTCCCTCACAATATCCTGGAGACCATTAGGAAACACTGTGTGGAAGGCAGATTGGCTTTCGCACCCATCGTCATGAGACTGGACTGTGGGAGCTCACCTCTGGAGCCTGATGGTAAGACATATACACAGACACATTTAGAGACAGCTGCTAAACACATACAAAACACATTTGCTTAAACACCAGTTGTGCAAAATGTGTCTGATTCTATTTCTCGCAAATCCTGTTTGTATTTAAATGGAGTCATATTGCTCTGCTTTAGACCTAATGCCTATAGTTTACTTTGTATGTATTGTGTGTGTGTGGGTGTGGCTGCCGGGATAATTGAGATAATTTTAGAGAATTGAGTGTGGAGATTTTCATATTTAAGTAATTTATTTAACCAGTTGTGTTTTACCACAAGCAGGATTGATATGTGATATTAAAAGCTGATTGTTTGAAATGTTACATCTGATTATAATTGGTTATTTATACGGAGACAAGCTAATTTAATTTTTTGTCTCTCAGTTGCTTTTGTCAAACATATTTTTTGCCAAAAACAAATGATGTTACTCAATTTGAATATTCATTCTGATTGGTCAATATATGCATCAGGCAGTCTGCCTCCTCGTGTGATCTCCCTCACATAGGGTACCACATATGAATGCATTCTCAAATTAAATTGTTTTATACAATATATTCATCTAGGCTATGTACATTGGAATGAAATACATGTGAAATACATGACATAAATGTGTTTAGAATAAATTTCAGAGACTGAGGGAATGCCACTGCCAGTGTACATTTATCTTATGTCTACAATTTTCACACACAGGCTTTTGGGAAGTGAATGGTTTTGGCTTGTTTGGAATTTATAAATCTGATTTTGATCAAATTGGTGGGATGAACACAGAGGAGTTTAAAGACCGCTGGGGAGGAGAAGACTGGGAGTTGCTAGACAGGTAACTGCATTTTTTTTCTATTGGGAATGCCAATTTGCTTTGGTAACACTGTACAACAAGGTCCCATTACTTAACATTAGTTAATGCATTAACTATCATCAATTAACAATGATCAATACATTCGTTACAGTATTTTTAAATCTTTGTCAACGTTAGTTAATAAATAATACAAGTGTTCATTGTTAGTTCATCTTAACTCGGGCCCATACAGATTTAACCATTATGTGATATTTTTTAACCTTTTTGAACATAGAAACTGCATCTCTGTGCTTTTATTTTTGGATACATTGCAGAATAAATAGATGGATATAAAAGTATTGCCCTGGGAGCAAAACTCAGTAACCACTCAATTTTGTCAAAAGGTTTCTTAGAATGTGATCTGCCCCGTGACAGACAGGTGGGGCTTAATTAAGAATGTGAAATTTAATATCTAATCAATCAATCAAATAATGTGGTTACACTTTATTTTAAGTGTCCTTGTTATGATGTAGTTATACAGTATATTTAAGTACTGAGGAATATTAATGAACTATATAGGGTTATTTTATTTGCATGTAATTGTGCATAATAATTTATAGTTATATTCCTTCAGTAACAATATGTAACATTTAACAAGGACATTGTAAAATAAAGTGTTACCAAGATTCTAAGTTCCAGTGTTGGTGTAATTACTGTTTTTTTGCCTCTCTTCCTCCATCACATCTGCGCTCTTCTCTCAGGGTTCTGCAGAACGGACTAGAGGTAGAAAGACTGCGACTGAGGAACTTTTATCATTATTTCCACTCCAAGCGGGGCATGTGGAACATTCCTATTAAAAGACCATCTCAAGGATAAGAGGAGAGCACAGAGGACCCTGCTGTTGTTTCTGGCTGGCTGGCTGTGTGTGTGTAGTGGTAATTTCTGCCCCAGATGACACTCTTACATTGGAACATGGGCCTGCCACACTGTAATTGACATGAGCATTGGACTTTGATAAACAACATTTGGCTTTGCCAAACTTTTAATTGTAAAACATGAATCTATGAGGACACCAGGAACTAACAGTGGATAATTGAAGGCACCTACATGAGACATTTGTAAATGCTTCTTTGCCAATCTTAGAATTGAAAGGAAATGTGAAGAGAATGGGTTGTCCAATATTCTGCAGTTTGTCTCTTTATTTTAAACTTAATGAGTAGCTTAAAATTGTGGAGTTTTATTCAAAGTGCTTATTATAGAGGGTGTCGAAATATACAGAGTGTTAGACCTATACAGTAATCAAGACAAGTTTTGATGAAGGGATAATTTCTGTGAAATTGTTTGTGTTGAGGATTTAGGTATACTTTTTCCCCCTGTTAAAATTTCTTATTTTAAAGAATAAATAAAGTTCATTAAAATGAGTCTTGTTCAGATATTATTCCAGCATAGTCCTACTAACCACCACTCGAGGGCACACACGTGCATCTAACAGATGCAGGAACCTTTCTAAAAGTATACCTCTTTCTGGTCCATACTAAATTTGATTAAGAGAGCTGCTATTTATTGCCTATTAACTCTATAATCTGAATCATTCCTTACTGGGTCAATTTGTTCCCCAATACAAATAATGGCATTTAAAATTGCGTTGTTTACGTTTTTTTTTTTTAAGAAAAACAAATCAAATCCAATCATATGTGGTAGATTGAGTTTAGATAGAATAAAAAAAAATAAAAAACGAGCCAAAGGCCAAGACTGAATCTTTAGTAATGACCGAACATTTTTGTCCCAGTTAGAACCAACATCTCCTCACTTTACTCCGGGAGCGCTGCATGTGTTTGATTGGCTGAGAGAAAGCTGTCCGCTGATTGGACGAAACTTTTCGCTGTTAAAAGTTTCTGTCTGAGCAGCAGGGTTCATGTGGCAGTGGATTGCCCATGAGTGCAGACCTTTAAACCAAGAGCCGTACTTGGCGATGGACGTGCGTTAACTTAAGACAAGGATCGTGCCTTTGCGCTGCATGTTTACTAACAAGGGAAGTCCACCTCCTTTTAAGCACTATAAATTGAAAAACGTGGAATAAATCACTTAAAAAAAATAGAAAGATATGGCAGCCTTGAGCAATACTACTATGAAGACTTTGGAGGATTTGACTCTGGACTCTGGATATGGAGCCGGTGACTCTTACAGATCCCACAGCCTGTCTTCCACCAAGTCCAACTCCCAGGCGCTCATCAGTTCTCCACTGCGGGGAAACTGGTGGAGCAACACGGGATCCATCAACAGCAGGAACAACAGCTGGGACACAGTGAACACGGTGCTTCCTGAAGACCCAGAAGACATCTTCTCCAAATGTCCGAGGTTACCAGAATTAGAGGAGTTCCCTTGGACAGATGAAGAGATCGATGTGGTCCTGCGTAAAGTTGCTGGAGAGGGACTGTCTTTCACTCCAGAGAGCGTCAGGAGTCTGTCAGTGCTTATGCGCAGAGCTTTATTGCGGATCTCCAGAGAAGCGCAGCGGCTGAGTGTTGTGCACTGCAGGTGCACGCGGTTCGAGGTGCAGAGCGCGATGAGACTGATCATGAGCTGGGCGCTGGCGGAAAGCTGCGTCTCGGCCGCGGTCCGAGCCATCTCATTGTACAGTATGAGTGCTGGAGAGGTTCTGCGTAAGAGCAAGTCTTCCCGCTGCACACTGAGTTTGTCTGTTGGACGCTTTTTCCGGTGGATGGTGGACACTCGCATCTCAGTGCGCATTCATGAGTACGCGTCCATCTGTTTGACCGCGTGCATTGAAAATCTAGTGGAGGAAATTGGGCTTCGTGTCCTGGCAGTGGCGCGGAGCGGAACCAACATCTCACCAGTTACGGCTGATGCGCTCGAGGCTGCAGTCAGCAATGACGCGGATATATTTGGTCTCGTGCAAAACTACGAACATCTCATCTGCGGGAAGAACGCCAATGGTAAGACAAATTAATCAAATATTAAAGTAGTTAACACCTCGCAGTCGTAAAGTAGTATTTTTGAGCCCTTTAGGTTATGCATAAATTACTGTTGTTCATAGTCATCATGCCACAAACTGAGTTCTTAATAAAAGTTGCTAAGGACTAACTACCACCAGAATGTGAATTTACACACTTGCTAGTCCTCATTTTGCAATTTGAACAATACAAAACAAGAGTGCATTCAAAATTCATAGACATTTTAGTGTGTTTAATTTGTTACAATTAACTACTTATAGAGCACTTTTAATTTCTTATTCTGTTAAAATTAATAAAATTGTTATAGTACATGCTATAACCTAAGTATTTACAATACAGTCGTGCTCAAAAGTTTACATACAAGATATTTTACATAAAAGATGTTTAGTCCACAAGACAAAAATAAATAAATAGCTGAATTTATAAAAATGACCCGATTAAAACAATTACATACTTTTGATTCTTAATACTGTGTGTCGTTATGTGGATGAACCACGAATGTTTTTGTGTGTGTGTGTGTGTGTGTGTGTGTGTGTGTGTGTGTGTGTGTGTGTGTTATGGCTTTTCTTGGTCCCAGTCGTGAATCATCCAGGTAACGACAGACAGTAAGAATCAAGGGTATGTGATCTTTCAAATGGGGTCATTTGTATAAATTCAGCTATTTCTTTTTGTCTTGTGGACTATATGTAAACATTTTTATGTTAAATATCTTATTCAGGACAGTACTAAATAAAAATATCATGCATTTTGTATGATCCCTCTTATTTTGTTAAAATAATTAACTTTTTGCAGATTCTGCAAGGGGTGTGTAAACCTTTGAGCACAACTGTATCTATAATAGGGAACACCAATTTGGCTCTGCAACATAATTGCATTTTGTAATGTAACAAGCTCTATATGGTAAAATGCAGCAAAATTATTAGTTATTATTTTGTTTGCATGTGTTCTTTGATTTTGATATTTGACAAATGTCTTATTTTATTAGATTCGGAGTCTTTGAGAGGCACCTTGATCTTGGTCTCAGTGGAAATACTAATTATCTTTTCCACTTTCATCTTGTCTCAAAGAGGGATGCGCACAGCTCTGCATAATTATGTGTAAACAAATGTCAGAAAAGCGAGTCTCACCACAAGTCTGATCATTATGCATGACAACTCAAGGCCCAGTGATGCGCTGCCTTTGGTGTGAAATGTGAATACAAGAAAATTATATTTGCCCTCTTTTGGCACAAGTGATGGCTTATTAATCCCGTGAGTACACAATGTCCTTGTAATACTATAATACTGTACATAATACTGATTGAATCATGGACAAACGTTTAAGGTTTCAGACTTGATTTGCTACCTGTGTGGATTTCACTCACTTCCACAGTTTACAACTTGCTGGTAAAATGGTAGCTTCTGCATTATAAATAGGGTTTGGCTGTGGCTGTACATCCCACTGGTCAAACACATTTTCAGAAATGAACAAAAAGGCCATTGTTCTGCTCTAAGCCATGTATAGCTGTGGAAAATAAGCAGGAACAAATGAGAGCCAGAGTGAAAAGAATGGAAAGCCATCGCACACTCTCCCTCTGGTTTAAATCAGTCTGTTGATCATCTCTGTGACAGGGCAGCCTTTTTAAGACAAGAGAGGAAAGGATGGGTTCATTTGCATGCCTTTCAGGGATAAAAGTAAGTAAGAGTTTATTGATATCCCGTGGGAATGAAATAGAAACCATCAAGCTGCCATTAAGCCCAACAGCAGCACACAAACTACATACTATTAGGTAGGATATATCAACTCCTACTTCACTTTGTGCTTCTGAATGTGGTACCTATTAACATCTTTCCATGAGTGTTTTTTATTTTGCACCCTAGGTGTAGTGCAAACACCCCCTATGGAGGCATGGGCTTAGAAATGTATTAATCTGATTCACAGGTACACACTCAGCGTGATTGATGTGACAGTGCACTCGTGCTCAATCACCCATGGCTGGTTAACTTGTTTTGCTCACTTATACTGAAATACAGCTGACCTGCATGATACTGAGGCTTAGAAACTCAGCAGTCTAAAGCACACTCAACACATAGAAATATAATGATAAAATATTATTTGCATACGCTCACTGTTAGTCAATTTTGACTTTTGTTCATCCTGGAAATCAAATGTTTGAGAACCACAAATAGGCCTTTTTTTTTTTTTTTTTACTTGGTAGAGACTTGTCAAATGAGAGAAGTCTGCCATAGGCTTTCATGTCAAACACTCTTGTCTCACATACTGAGCAGAGCCACATCTGGAACTGTTTAGTGCCGCACAGCTTAAATGACAGAAAAAAGGCCCATTTTCTGTCGTGAAAGCTACTGTGGTCTTGTTCTTTGGCCTCTATGCATTTGTCCACACAAAGTGCCTTGAGCAGATGGCATCAGAAGACTGAATTATGATGCATTAATGTTGTAGGTTGCCAGGTTTCCATTTAATACAGAATTTGAGTTCTCATAAATTGTTTGCCTTTTCAATATATTATTAGGTCAGCGTAGCAGAATGGTTTGTTGGTTTAAAAAAATAATAATAATTACAACAGTGTTGTGGCAGGCCATAGGGAAAATCCCAGCTGAAAATATATACAACCCACCAGGGGGGATTTTTTTTTTTTTTTTTTTTTTTTATAAACAAGCATCTCTTCAGAATGAGAGAGCACAGCAGATAATATTGCATAAATGGCCAACACATGTATAATTAATTATTGCTTCCATGAACAACTTATGTAGTTTAAAAATAGTTTACTAAAAGAACCCTTTATCTATTTGATAATTTTATCACCATAATTTTAGGTGGAGGTCAACTGCAGTCACAGAAAAGCCTTTACAATAAACAAGCTAATAATGGCCATTATGACTCAGCCATGCAAGATGTCAACCGGAAACACGATGTTAGTCTTCTAAAAGGAAAGCGATTGAGCCCTTGAATAAATAGTCTGATTTAATTGAGGTCCCCACTTGGCTTTAATGACAGACAGGACATAAAAGAGCTGGTCAAATGAGGGGATGCAGGTGAGACACAGTTCACATCAGATTGGCTCTCCACACCGTGAGAGCAGTCCCACTGAATGGGGTGTTGAGTTCTGGTCTGTGTGTGGAGCCTTGTAATCATCATTGGTTAATTATCCTCATAAAACTTTCCGCCCACACAGCCCAGTTTCTTTGAGCTTGACGACAAACCGCAGAAATTAGAGCATTTCCCAGCCATGGTCATTTCAAGCCAGAGAGTGTGTTTAGGAGGCTGATAATTATAAACTCTACTTTGCTAAGACTTTCTCAAAAGTCAGAAATGTCCTCTGGGAAGTAAAACTTCTGTAAAAGAGAGGTCTCACCTTTTTGTGTTCGCTAGATGGACTGAAGTTGCTACAGAGAAGCTAGTATTTCACATGAGGTCTGTGCTCTGTGTTTACACATGCAGTCAATAAGTGCTATTATAAACATCGTTTTGAGGGTCTCACTTGAGCCCTAGAGCACCTAGAGTGGACAAATGCTTTCTATAAGGAGAGAAGAAGGTGCCTTTCTGGAGCATGCAATGACAGCTGCTCTGTGTGCGAGTTGACCTTCCTCAACTCCCCAGCATGCCTGCCTGGACCCATTAGCATCTGTTCCAAAGAGGTGTTACTTGGTCTAAATTCAGGGTGGCCAGTAATGGAAGTTGCACTGCAGTGACTTTAGAATCATCAATATTCAAACACATTTGTGTACAGATGTAAAAGTAAAAGTTCACCCAAATATGTAAATGCTGTCTTAATTTACTCATGTTTTTCCAAACCTATATTATGACATAAAATATGATTTTTTTTTTTTAAATAATGTTGATAACTAAGCCATTTTGATTGACTTCCATTTGTATAGGCAAAAAAAAATTCTCAAAATCAACATTGAAACTATTTTACATTTTGCCAAATTGATGGCTAATTCGTATGAATTCATACAGTAATCTCATATGATCTGCTAAGTTACACCCCATTGATGGTTAGCTTTTGGAGTTAGGGATGGACCTTCATGCTTATCCTTTTTTCTCTTTCATGAGATCAGGTTGCTCAAAAAAAAAAAAAAAATTATGTTCCCCAAAATAAATAAAGAAATAAAGTCATATACAGCATAAGGGTGAGTAAATGATTTCCATTGTAGGTGAACTGTCCTGATTTGTGAAATCTAATTCTGTTTAAAAGTCAAGATGCCTTCATACATATAGCGCTTTTTACAATACAGATTGTTTCAAAGCAGCTTTACTGCGATACTAGGAAATGAATGCAACAAAGATAGTTTTGGCTGTACAGCAGCTCTAGAAGAAAGTCATTGTCTAGCTTAAGTAAGTTTTTAATTGATTCATTTCTTTTATAAAAAACATTAGTTATTAACTTAGGGGCTGCTTACACAACACTGTTTTGAAACTGAAAACAGAAAACATTTAAAGGTGCTCTAAGCGATGTCATGTGTTTTTTAGGCCAAAACATTTTTTGTCACATACAGCAAACATCTCCTCACTATCCGCTGGCTGCCTGTCCCCTGAACACACTGTAAAGAAACGCGATCTCTGTAGACAGCCCATGCTTCACAAACAGCACCAAAAACAAACTGCAGCGACCCGCTCCCCAAAACATAACAAACTGTTCCAGCCAATGACCGACAAGAAGGGTTTGGGGGTGTGGTTTGGGGGGTTAGTGTGCGGATGAGGAGGAGGGAGGGTCTAGCTAGCCTCCGTTTTGTTTGACAATAGTTCGAACGTCAACAAGAAGTGACGTCACCCAGGATCGCTTAGAGAACCTTTAATGCGCTCTGGCCGTTAATTTAAACGACAACGGCCTTTTGGTGGGCTGAGAATGCAAACTTTGAAGTATTTCAGTGCAAGTTTTTGAAAACAGGTTTTGAAAGCGATACCGTTATCATCTCCGTGGATACTTCAAAAACCTGAATCTGTGAAAACGGTGACTGCATGTACATGCGTATTACGTGTGT